CACCATGTGCAAGCCTTTATACTCCATAAGTTTGTGGTGTAGCCTAGCACTGTTTGGTCGATTTCATCATTTCTGCATATTAAAGATCTGTCAAGAGGATGATCACTGCTTTTACAACAGCTTTTCCTTTTGATGAATAGCCATCAAAAGTCATTAGATTAGCTCAGTCTGCCATTTTGGAAAAGTTTTTATCTTTTCTTTGCTGGAACTGGAAAGCAAATCTTGAAATTTTTTCCTATTTGGACAAGTGTTTGATTAATTAACCCCCAGCTCAAAGTTGTGCATTTTTGTGTGAACTGTAATGAGTTGAGCACTGATAAGTAAACCCTACAATGAACACGAGTTAGTTAAATCATCCAATTTCACTTTGTTCATCATAACTGAAAACGATTGCATGAAAGTACTGGCAAGCAGCTATAGGGGCCATGTTAGGGGCCGTCCATAAAGTACGTTTGCATTGAAATGCTGACTTTTCAGATCCCCCTCCCCTGTACGCCTGGCGTAGGCATTGGTTCCAACCCCCCCCTCCCTGTGTACACGTACGTATTTCACGATTCCGGAAGATGCTGCCGGTGTTTGTGTCCTGAGTAATGTTGCAGTTTACTAAAAATGGGCGTTAATTGGCACGAGAGGATAAATGGTAGGGCGGACGGTGGAGAATACTGTGCTTGAATTTCGATGCACAAAAGCTGATTGTGGTATTTAATTGGTATGAGAAGGTGTCTTGATATCAGGATTCATTAACGGCAAATTTTCAGTTTGGCTTGAATCCCCCTCCCCTCTGTACATGTATACAACGGTATTAAGCCTCTCCTCCCCCTTTGTGGGTACCAGTACATACTTTATGGATGGCCCTTAAGCCCCTTATGTCGGTACTTTTTGCACTTACCTTGGCTGTTTGTGTGATAGTCACTTCTTCACAACCCTTGTCTCTTGTGTTGCTTTCAGATGGACCGATGGGTCCAATCCGTTGGACTACACCAAAGGCTGGGGCACCGGCCAACCAGACGACCAGATGGACTCGCAGAAATGTGCAAATATGGTTTGGGGTAAGAGCATTGAAAAGGTAGAGGAAATGGCTGGAAAGCCCCTTGCAGGAGAAAGCCCAAATGGTTTGCTGCACATAGTGGTCATCGGCTGAAGGAATACATTCCAGTGTTACAGTCGAGTGCATCGCAAATCCATCACAAGTCACTCAGTCTTAAGCCACCCCCCCAAGTGAACTGTATCAAAAGTGTACCTTTGCCCTATTACTTGGAACTGGTCTTGTGAAGGGACTTGTATAATGGACTCGACTGCAACACTCATACATTTCCATTTTCTCTTTGCAATTTTGGTGTCTTTGTGTAAGTCCTCTAGAAAATCCAAACAAGATCCTTGGAATATAAGTTTAAATAAAGCATGATATCGCAAACTGTACACCTTTGGGTATAGGGACCTGGGAAACAGTAAATAGGAGAGAAAGTATGTTATTTGAATAGTGATATTTCTGAATAAGCAACAGTTGGTGAATGGTAAAATTGGTGGCAGAAGTGTGATAAATGTGAAAAAAACAATTTTAAGTATTGTTTTGAATATTGAATTGAATTGTGTCATCTGGTTTCAGACGGTACCTGGGCAGATTCCAACTGCGGCTCTTTGGAGAGATTTGCCTGCAAGAAGAAATCAAACAGCACAAACCCGATTGTAAAGCCCTCACCCCCACCGCAAGTTGGCAACTGCCCCGACGAGTGGTACAAATTAGAGACCGGCTGCTACCAGATCAAGGGCAGCCAAGCAGACTTCAAGACTTTTGCAGATGCAAGAGCGGATTGCCAGAAGCAAACAAACGGGGATCTGCCATCTATTCATGATCAAGGAGTTCAGTGTAGGTCTAATAACACACATCTTGAAACATGGAGATAAAAGGTTGTACATAGGTCACAGAAGTCTGGTTGAAGTTGATCCTGCTTTTATTTGTAACAATGATAATTGAATTCACAGTGGTCTGCATTGATGTACTATTTATATGAGAAATTTTTTAGGTTTAGTATGCAAGCTGATTTTATTTCAAACTTGGGAGACAGCCGACAGGTTAGCATTGAGAATGACATTCACTGAGTGTGGAAAATATGAAAAAAATCACGGGGCTTAACGACATCCCGAAGTTGAGGTTTTGGAGTGTATACAATGGATGAACTTTAACAAAAAAATGAAGCAGAAAGAAATCCATGGAATATGCTTATATGTACCACACTTTCGCATACACTTTTGTGCACTGGCGCATTGAATGTTCCTTCAACCAGTGGGGTGCTGTGACTCACTGAATCCACGCTGTCCTAACGTCTGAGACTGTTTTTTTTAAAAAACAGTTTTGACATTCTTATAGAAAATAAGGAGGGGGTACTGTCTACATCGTGTGATCACCTTGAAAGGTCATCGGCCATTTCTCTATGACAACTTTTACATTATGGCTTGATTTTCAATAGCACTGTTAACGTCCTTCATCAAGTTTTACACCGGCAACGTGTGGATCGGCCTTCGTGGTGGAACTGCTGGTTGGTGGGGATATCATTGGGTTGATCAAAGCAACGTGGACTACGAGCACTGGGCACTGAACGAACCCAGCTTTTTCTACGTAAGTTGCAACTGCTTCAGTGTTTTGCTTTAATGCAAGAGAATGTGTCAAGCTGCAGCCAATATCTGTGCCAGTAAATGGAGGACTTGTAAACCCACCCCAGCAGTTTCTGTATGTGGTACCAGAAGGAGGCTAATGCCCATCCCCGTGTTTATGTGATTTCTGTAGCTTTTGTACACACAACGAAGCTCAAACTACTTGGTAGAGGTGGAGCCCTTATTTGACTAAAACTAGTTTGTTCTGTTATGATTTCATAGTGATTATCCGGTGATTTGGTCCTTGCCACTCAAGAAAGTTTTCAGTTTCGGAATGTCGTGGATTATTTAAAAATCTGTATCACCAGAAAAGTTGAACAATTGACTAGAACGTCTAGACACATCCCGTCTGAGGCAGGTATACCTCCGTGGTACATACCTCTCAACCACTGTCATCAGCTTGACAGGGACTAACATTTCAAAATAATTCACATTACAAATTCTTGATGTCAAGGAATTGGTAGTGCACATTGCTGCAGATCTGGTTGAATGCTGACATAATTCTTTCAGGACCAAACCAAGTGTACAGTGATGGTGAATGATCCAGACTTTCCGGGCCGTTGGGATGATGTTCCTTGCGACGACAAGCACGGCTATATCTGCTACCAGCCGCTTGGTGAGTAGGCCTGTTGCAAACTTTGGCTTTTCCTTTTGATTTTTTTTGGAGCTCTGGTACAGAGAAATCATATTCATGATGATAATGTCCGTTCCAATCTGCCAAAACTGAGCCAACCTGATCCTCGTTGTGCAAATTAAAAAAAAAAGACTGACTTTGATGAACACTGGATCATTGAAGAAAAGTTGTGCTACTTAATTTAATTTTCCTAAAGTTGCCAACTCAAATCCTGCTCCGTTGGTATATTTGTCCATCTTTATAAACTTTAATGAACGAATGAAAAGAGTCATCACTAAAAAAACTGGAAAAGTCAACAATCAAGATTGGGGAAGGTTGAAGTGATGAAAACCAAGGTACGTAATCAGAAAGGTTGCTAAAGAGTCTGGGAGCATCCGGTCAAAATGAGTCTTCTGGTGTAATGAATAGCATGTGAACATACAACCACAATCCTGGCGACCATGAAACTGTTGTCATCTCAGCATCAGTAATTGGTCAGTAATTTTGCTGCCTAGATGTATGAGTGATTTGAGCCGCGACAAATTATCCTTACTTGGGCAGTAGAATGCATGCATACATTTGTGAGATAGTACATTCAAGGGAAAAAGTACATCTGGCTGATTTTCATCTGTGATTTTTCACTTAACATTGTAGAGAGAAATCTGACAGCAGTCCTTTCCATCCCAAGGAGATATGAATGTTACGTATGGCAGCCATCTTCCCACTTAGTGCTTTTTGTTACGGCAGATATGTGCAAAAGGTTTATTTTTTTACGTAAATTGAAATTTAAGCTTATCTGTGCATGCTTTTTAATTTTTTTTATCTATGTATCCCTTTTTAAATTCTGTTGTAAAACTGCTCTGCAATCCAGCCCTTGGGCTGCTATTGGCAGTTTGAATTAAATAAACCAGCAATAATAATAATACTTGTTTATATCCCTATGGAACAAAAACACTGACCGGGAAGATGGTTGCCATGCATAATCTTTGTAAAGAAGAAATAAGTGACAGCTCTTTTTTCTCGTGTGTTTATAATTTGTTCTTTTCTCTGAGAATTCCTCAGATGATTAGGCCATGTGGAGGCACGAGAAGACCGTCTTGACTTTGTGATATTTACCCTTCGAAATGTGTCGGGTCCACAGATCCAAACTTGCCGACTGAACCGCCTCCCATCAGCACCTGTGTCCGGAGTGGCTACGAGGCTTACTCTGATGACTGTTTCAAGCTGAACACCACCCACGTGGCATTCCAGGACGCCCTCAAGTCCTGCGCAAGTGAGGTGGCAGCCCTAGCCACTATCGTCGACGGCTATGCCGAGTCTTACCTCGTCAGCATGCTGTACGCAAACGGCCTGCAGGCAGCCTGGATCGGCTTCGCTGCCAGCAATGTAGGCTTAACCACTTTGAGGATTTCTCTGAGAAGTGCGGACGTTCATGGGCTGAATTAACCTTGGTCAACAAAGTAATCCGAAGAGTTTCTGCAGTGATATCGTGCAAGTGTGGTGTCCCACTGCAACAGTGGCTTCTGATTCTGGTCATGGGTGTCAACCTTATCTGTGAAAACAAAGCTTGCCCATTTTCTGTTGGTTGGTCCTCAAGTTTGTCTTTCTTTTGTCACCTTAGTCCTCACTAGAACCATTGCAGAAGTCGAGTCCCATCTTTAAGCTGGTCACAGATGGCATGGAATAATAAAAAAAATCAGTTCTTTGGAATTAGCTTAGGACTTGGTACTTGGATGACTTACAATGGACATGTGATTAGACATGTTAGGAATTCTAAGGACGTATGAGGACGTGTGAGGACATATGGGGACATCTTAGGACATGAAGATTTGTGGTGACCTGAGGACCTAAGAGGGCATGTTAGGAACTCTTTAAGACACTTGAGGACATGTGGGGACCAGGCAACTTTTACTCTGGTACCTTTTGTTCTCTTTTTGCAATTGCAGAGCACAGGCAAATTTGTCTGGATGGACCAGTGGCCAGATTCGTACATTAACTGGGGACCGGACCAACCCAGTGATGCAGGGAACTGCGTGGTGTTGACGGACCAAGCTGTCTGGATGAACACTCCATGCTCGGAGACTTACCCTTTTTTCTGTCGATCCACAGATATACCTTGTAAGGTCCACCTTTCATTTCAATCATAAGAGTAACTATAATTTGTACTTCTAAAAGCAAAGTTATCCGGCAGTGCTGCTACTCAAGGGTCTATCACAGTGATTGCTACCCCCCCATTCATAAGAAAAGATCAATTTTGACAGCCAAAATATCAGAGCACATTCGGCCTCTGCTCTCTCGGGTACCTATTTTCATGCTTCTTGATGGAGACAGTTAAGTAAGGCGTAAAGTGACTTGTTCAAGGTCATGCCGTCCAACCAACTTGCTGGATTCAAACCCCTGACACCGTGATTGGGAGGCACACCATCTACAATCATAGATTTACAGCTTCTCCCCAAATACAGGGAAATGCTTATTTGTGACCAATGTCTCACTACATCACAGCCACGACAAGCTGCTACTAAAACTTAACAAGGATCCTCGGAAAAAAATTTTTTCTATGAAACGTTTTGACCAGTCATTGATGATTTTTTTTTTCAGACCAGCTAGTGTAAAAGCTTAAATGGTATCATCATCCAAGAATGCCAATATTTCAGCCACATCGCTTCCATCTTGAGCTGTCTGAGAAAATTCATCCGAATATGACATGTATTTCAGGAGAAACAAGGGTTTATACAATGCTTCTTTTCCTCCCTTCTCCACCCCAGTTGTACCTCCAACCTGGCCGCCTGCCCTGCCAGGTACTTGTCCTGAGAAGTGGCTCCCCTATGGCGACAACTGCTACCTGTTTGATACGGGCTCTGACCTCGTGTCCTGGTATGAGGCCATCGTCAAGTGTTCCAAGGACTACGGGGGCTCCCAGGTCCTGTCCGTCCACAGCAAAGGGGAGAATGCGTTCATCCAGAGGAACACGAAGAACAGCTTCTCTTGGTACGGCATGTGGCTGGACCTGAGTCGTAACAAAACTGGTGAGTACGCTGATATATGCTGTTGTGGAATTACAAAACTGGTGCGTACGCTGATGTAGTGCTGTTGTGGAATTACAAA